ACACACACACACACACACACACACACACACACACACACACACACACACACTTATTTTTGTCCCAATTCCACTGTGAAAGAGGAACTCTGACTCAGCACGTACAAGAGGAAGATTACAAAACCCTGACCGTTTAAATGGCAATCCACCCCCATCAGACTACGGCTACCACCTGCCAGAAGTCAGCCCAGGGTCAGGGATCAGCGAACCGTAACGCCAGCCAATCCCCAATCCCGTCTCCCCCCAGCTCACTGTCTCTCTCTTTGGAACAGCAAGGCACTCGCTGGCTCCCACACAAACTGAACCAGCCACTCAAGCTTCCTTGTTTGTTTTTAAAGCTCTGCCATCGAACCTAGTGCTCCTGGAGAGAAGCCAGGCGGCATGGACACTGTTACCAAGCAGGCCTTCCCCCTGCAATGCTAGACCTGGGTGCCCCTCAATCTCGGGCTGCAACTCCCAAGATCCTGTGAGCAGTCAGGACAGTGGTGATCTACTGGGACGAGTCCCTGGATTTACAGATCCAGGCGTTGGAGGCCTCGTGCTCGCTCAGGCCCTGGCCTCTGGTATTCACTTCCCATGCTGGCCCACAGCCAGAGTCTGCTAAGCTTCAAGGCTGCATATTCGCTCAGGCTTTTGCTTGTGTGCGTGTGGTGGGGTGGGGAGGGACAGCTAGGTTTTGTGCTAGGTGAGAGCTCATTTATAGTTTGTTGTCCTCAGTAACACTTTGAACACTGTCCATGCGCGCGCTTAGAGTCTGTTGGATGAGAGTGTTTTATACATTTAAAAGAAAGCCTCATTCTAGACCTGCCGCTCCCTCCACAGCCCCCCCCCCCGTGCCCCTCAGCCCTGAGCCACCGCACCTCCTGCCCCCCCACCCCTGCCCAAACCCTCCGCACTGAGCCACCGCACCTCCTGCCCCCCCAGCCCTGCCCATGCCCCTCCACACTGAGCCACCGCACCTCCTGCCCCCCCCAGCCCTGCCCCCCCAGCCTGCCCGTACCCCATAGCACTGAGCCGTTGCACCACCTGCTCCTCCAGTCCTGTCCCTTCCATTGCACTGCCCAGGCCCCTCAGCGCTGCACAGAGAACTGTGCAAGAAACAGAGCCACAGGAGACAACAATGGCCTCCCACAGGGCAGTGTGTTAGCACCAGTCCTCTTCAACATAGATACCAATGACCAGCCCATACAGAGCAATATGAGATATTTTATATACACCAGTGATCTATGCATCACATCACAGGAGAAGGACTTTGCCACTGTTGAGAACAGACTGACCTGTGCATTGAGCAAGCTTTAAACCAGTGGTCTCCAACCTTTTTACACTCAAGATCACTTTTTGAATTTAAGGGCAACCCAGGATCTACCCTGCCCCTTCCCCAAAGCCACATCCCACTCACTCCATCCCCCACTCTCTGAGTTACTCCCTCTCCCCCACCCTCACTCACTTTCACCGGGCTGGGGTAGGGGGTTGGGGTGCGGGCTCTGGGCTGGGGCCGAGGGGTTTACAGTGTGGGAGGGTGCTCTGGGCTGAGCCTAGGGCAGGGGGTTGAGGTGCAGGAGGGGGTGAGGAGTGCAAGCTCTGGTTAGTGGCACAGGGAGTCAGTCTAGAATAGGTTCCCACTTTTGACATGATCCCTGCTGTGCATGCAGAAAGGGTGGGGTAAAAAGTCTGAGGTGCACCGTGTAGATCATTTCCAATTTTGGGGCCATTTGCAATGGAAAAGAGCCATCTGCCACCACAGGCTTGGAAAATGGCTTCGCAGTGGCATCAGGAGCGGAGAAGTACTTACAAACACTGCAGGACCAAACGGGAGGCTGTCAAGATAGTAGTGTTCATATTCCCCTGGAAATAATCTAACAGCCACAGGAATGGCACAAGAGGGGAGGAGAGATTTCCATGGTGCCAGCCATGCGTATTACATATTGCTGGGCGGCAGGCAGCTACATACCAAATTCTAATACTAAAATTACGATCTAGCTCTTTTCAATAATCCCCCAGTAAAGAGGGGATTGGATTTTGAGGGCCCTCCCGCAGTATTAATCAGTTTTAATGTAAAATGTGCTCCAAGAGCTTATCTACACACAGAGTGGCATGTGCTTATCTAAAGGTGTGATTTTAAACCAGTTTCGCTAAACTAGTGCAAAAAACTGTGTGGACACTCATTTCAGTTTAATCTAAGAGTTCAATTAGGAACAGGTTTAAGTAAAAATAAAATAAGCCACTCAAATCAAAAACGAGAGTGTCCACACAGGGAGTTGAGTTGTTTGCAAACGTGTGTAGACCTCTTCTAGAATACCCCTTCAGATCAACTGTGATCTTCCCTTACGTGGCACACCATCGGTTACACACCGATCCAATCATATTTATTCAGACTGCTAACAGTACATATACATACCAGGCACTGGTGTGCTCGGTGCCAACTTCTATGTTCACCAGGTGCCAGCACCTCTGCTGCTCTCACTTGCAGTCTCCTCCTAGGCACCTTCCAAATTCCAGAAACCAATTGGACAGACGCCTCTCCTTACTGGTCCATTAAAGACTACCTGCAACGCATATGTCAAACAGTGGGCTTTTGCCCTTCCTCCACCTTTATGGAGAAAGCCTGCAACGTAATTTAAAAAACAAAACCAAGATTTCTGCTTGCTTTTTTACTTTAAAAATATCAGGAGTGTTGAGATTGGTAGAATTGGAGGAACTTCTGGGCCTCTCAGAGGTTGTGTGTTGTGAGCTCTCTCACCTTAATTGACTCTTTAACAGAGACCTCTTTTCTCCAAATAGTTTATTCTACATTGGAGATAAAGGTATTAAAAACCAAAGAATTTTTTAAACAAGTGACTGAGGTCTTGTCGACATTGGGAATTTGTCCCAATTCCAACCACGAGTGCTCTGGCAGTCACTGACATAGGTGCAGTAGTGCAAACCCTAAGCTTTACACAAGGAAAGCATGAGATGCAAATGGAGTCTGAAACATGGGGTTTTCCCACGTGCAGCTACATCATTTTCAGGCCACTCGTCACTGCAATCAGAGCAAGAGCCTGATACAGACAAGGCATAAAAATCCCTTCTCTGCTCAGCTTTCAGTCTCTTCTCCAGTGAGGTCATCATTTAATTAGCCTTCCAATCGCCATGGAGTCTCCCAGGGTCCACACGACCTGGGTGTCTCAAGGAATGAAACAAGCAGGCTCCTTTTTAAACAAAACCTTTCAGAGGGCCTCAAAGTCACCATAAGGAAAAAGACATAAGCCCAATTTATTTCCCCCCTTGTAGGTCATGTTTAGCAGGGTCACTGTACCAATACAAGATGGGGTGCTGAGTGCTTCCCGATAGCCCACAACCCTCTGGGAGGGGAACTCTCTGGGGGGTTGGAGAGGAGTGAGGAGGGAGGAGGAATAAAGTAGTTTCTATCATAGTACCCAAGTTGCTCTGTTCACAAAGCAGATGGGGAACTTTCCCATTAATTATTAAGCAGCAGAAGGCACTGTCCTGCAGCTGCCAGAGGTTACAGCAGGCCTATAGGCCACAGCAGGCTGGGTTTTATGGGATGCTGCTGCAGCCACATTTCTTTTAGGGACGGCCAGTTTCTATTTATCCCCATCTTGCCCTATGTCTAGTAAGCGCACATGCTGCTGCAGTGCTCATGCTGTATGTCACAGCGTATCCACCCATGGAGATTGCAGCTATACTGTGGGCAGAGCAGAAAACCAGACTAGCTGGTGTGTGCACAGGTTACAGACTGCTAGCTAGCTAGCCCCTTGGCACCCACCGAGACCCCAACACCAGATGAGGGCTGCCTGCAAAGACATGTCCTTCTGAAGGAGGCTTCTTGGCTGTCAAAAAAAGGGGGCAGGGAAGGAAAGCAGTCACTTGCTCGAGTGGTAACAGTTACCACCAGTTCCTGCCCTCGGTGCAGGACTCGCTGGATGGAAAATTCTAGGGCCGGTTCTGCAGGAGTTCAGACTAGATGGTCACAGGGGTCCTTTCTGACCTTAAAAAAATAATCTCTGGAAGAGGAAGAGAGGAGTTTGTAGCTCTCAAACAGGGGTGAGTTTAAAGCAAAGACAAAATAGAAAAAAACCACTAAAATCTCCACTTCTCTGTTCCATGCTGGATGCTGGGGAGCATGCACGGCAGAGTCGGAAAAGCCAGAGCCCAAGTGCTTGTAATTCAAGTCACTCTAACCCTCTCTGCCCTCATCACCTAACTAACATCCTGCATGCAGAGACCTCAGAATGATGCCAAATGATGTACCTCAGAAGCCAAGCGAGATACTGAGTCAAAAGCCATTGGAGGTTATTGTTTGGGGAGAGAGGTGGAAAGAACGGATGGGATCAGCAGTGCCAAGCAGACAGCCTCAGCACGGATCTGGAGCTGCTGCTGGATTTCCTGACCTCGTGGATTTTCTCCCGTAGCGAGAGGGCTGCTGGCTCCCATTCAAAGCTGTCTAGGAAAACCTAACTAAGCGCTTCCGCCTGGCAGCAGCCGCTCCCAGTCCAGTAGCCCGCAGATCCTCCCCCGCCTCCGTGGGTTTCCCAGGCAGTAGGAGCAGCACGGCTTCAGGAAACAAGAAACATCTGCCAGCCACGCACAGGGACCATGAGAAGGGAGCTCTCTGCCCCAGGTCTCAGGTGGACTTACCCAGCCTACACTCTTCTTCAAAATAAGAGGATTATGTTGGGGAAGGAGTACAGATAGCTTGCCCCTTTAACCCTTCATCTGCCTATCACACAGGCAACCGTTCCAGTTTATCAGACCTTGGTTGTGCCCTCCACCCCTATTCAAATGCATGTATACACTCCCCCCACCTATGGGACTTGGCCTGCTCCAGACCGGGCTCCAATGTGGACTAGAAAGTGCATAGCTGAACAGGGGGTGGGCAGCGACCATGCACCAAAGTCCAGGCAAGGGGCTGATCATTAAGGTAGGGAGGGGAGAGCGGAGAGCCCGTCACAAACCCAGGCCAAAACTACCAGTGACTGGGAACCACTGAATCAGTACCCAGAGCATGGGGAAGATTCTAATGGGGAGATATCCAGCTAGCCCAGCCATCCCACACAGACTGGGTCAGCCAGAGCCACCACTTCACAAGGCCTCACTACAAGGCACAGTGCAAGTCACAGAGCATAAAGCAATCAGGAGACCTGGGTACTATTTCCAGCTCTGCCACCGACCTGCTGGGTGACCTTGGGCAAGTCACTTTCCCCTTCCCTGTCCCTTTGTCTTGTCTGTTCAGACCTGAGCTCTCCAGGGACTGTCTCTGACTTAGGCATATGTACAGCACCTAGCACAGCGGAGGCCCCAATCTCAGCTGGGGCCTCTAGGCACGATAGCAATACTAACAACAATTTTTGGTTTGCTAGATTCTAAATATACTCAGGAGAGCACAGAATCATAGACCTGCAGAGCTGGAAGGGACCGGTGAGGTCATCTAGTCCATCCCTGTGCACTGATTCAGGACCAAGTAAACCTAGACCATCCTGACAGGTGGTTATCCAACCTGTTCTTACAAACCTCCAATGATGGGGATTCCACAACCTCCCCTGGAAGCCTATTCCAGAGCTTAACTACCCTGATAGTTAGAAAGTTTTTCCTAATATCTAACCTAAGGCTAGGTCTACACTACAGCGGGGGGTCGACCTAAGATACGCAATTTCAGCTACGTGAATAGCGTAGCTGAAGTGGCGTATTTTAGGTCGACTTACCTGGCTGTGAGGACGGCGGCAAGTCGACCGCTGCCGCGCCGCCGTCGACTCCGCTACCGCCTCTTGCCGCGGTGGATTTCCGGAGTCGACGGTAGAGCCATCAGGGATCGATTTTATCGCGTCTTCACTAGACGCGGTAAGTCGATCCCCGATAGACCGATTGCTACCCGCCGGATCGGCGGGTAGTGAAGACGTGCCCTAAGTCTCCCTTGCTGCAGATTAAGCCCATTGCTTCTTGTCCTACCTTCAGTGGAAATGGAGAACAATTGATCACCATCTTCTGTTATGTTAAGGGTGGTTATAAAGACGACTTACCAGGTCTTCCCCTCATTCTTCTTTTCTCAGGACAATACATGCCCAGGTTGTTAGGTTTTTTTTGTTTTTTTAAACCTTTCCTCATAGGTCAGGTTTTCTAAACCTTTAATCACTTTTGTTGGTCTCCTTTGGATTCTCTCCAATTTGTCCACCTTTCTCTCAAAGTGTGGTGCCCAGAACTCCAGCTGAATCATCACCAGTGCTGAGTAGAGTGGAACAATTACCCCCGTGTCTTACATACAACACTCCTGTTAATACACCTCAGAATATTTGCCTTTTTCACAGCTGCATCACATTGTTGACTCATTGCGTTTGTAATCCAGATTCTTTTTCGGCAGACTACTGCCTAGCCATTTATTCCCCATTTTGTAGTTGTGCATTTTTCCTTCCTAGGTGTAGTACTCTGCACTTTTCTTTTTTGAATTTCATCTTGTTGATTTCATACCAATTCTCCAATTTATCAAGCTTGTTTTGAATTCTAACCCTGGCCTCCAAAGTGCTAGCAACCCCTGCCAGCTTCATGTCATCTGCCCATTTTATAAGCACTCTCTACACTCCATTAGCCAAGGCAATAATGAAAATATCAACTAGTACCAGGTCCAGGACAGACCCCACTAGCTATGTCCTCCCTATTTGACAGAGGACCAAAACTACTTTTTTGAGTACAGCCTTTCAACCACTTGGGCATTCATTCTAGATTATAATAATTTCACCTAGACCAGCAGTTCTCCACCAGGGGTATGCATGCCCATGGGGATACACAGAGGTCTTCCTGGGGGTACATCAACTCTTCTAGATATTTGTCTAGTTTTACAACAGGCTACATAAAAAGCCCTAGCGAAGTCAGTACAAACTAAAATTTCATACAATGACATACTATACACTGAAAGGCAAGTATAATATTCATATTCCAATTGATTTATTTTATAATTATAAGTTTAAAATGAAGAAGTCAGCAATTTTTCAGCAACAGTGTGCTGGGGCACTTGTGTCTGATTTTGTAAGCAAGTAGTTTTAAGTGAGGTGAAACTTGGGGGTAGGCAAGACAAATCAGACTCCTGAAAGGGGTACAGTAGTCTGGAAAGGCTGAGAGCCACCGACCTAGACCACATTTCCTTAGTTTACTTATGGGGATGTCATGTGATACTGTGTCAAAAACCTTATTAAAAATCAAGATGTATTACATCTACTGTTTCCTTCATCCACTAGTCAGTAACCCTGTCAAAGCAGGAAATTAGGTTGATTTGGCAAGATTTGTTCTTGACAAATCCACACTGGCTATTACCTATTACCCTCTAGGTGTCTACAAAATGCTTCTTTAATAATTTGTTCCTGTATCTTTGTATTGAAGTTAAGATGACTGGTCACAGTTCCCCGGGGGGGCTCCTTGTTCCCCTTTTTAAAGATAGGTACTATGTTTAGATAGGTACCGTGATATCTCACGTGTCCTCCATGAGTTCTCAAAGATAAATGCTAACAGTTCCAAGATTGCTTCAGGTATTTCCTTAAGTACCCCAGGGTGAATTTCA